CTTTTTCAATTTCTGTCTGTTCTCTCTCGTGTGCGCTTACCCTTCCTTTCTCTCTCATATAAACCCAAATAAAACCAATATTTACAAATACATGTGTACACATCAGTGGAATAACTTTATTTTACAAAACTTTGCATTAGTTTTCACATTGATTTTTTGCTGGTAATGTAATTACTTCAGTTTCTATGCATTTTCACTGTTCACATTTTCACTGCAGAAAATGTTTATCCTGCTATATACAGTTACAATATTAAATGGATTTCTAAGACATTGAGTGGACTCTCTTTGGAATAATAACACATCTTGAAGAGAAAAAGATAAAGAATATTGAAACTCTCTAAAACTCCATCTCTCCTCTCATTCACTAATATTCTTTCCACCATGCTTCCCCACCACCATCCCCCCCCCCCCCCTCTCTCTCTCTCTGAAACTAATACTAAAACTAATGTGAGCGACTTACAACACAGTTTCTGAAAATCCTGCTCACATTTGATGCTGCAACACTACGCTCTCTCTCTCTCTCTCTTTATAAGAAAACAAATGCCCTTAATAACAACAAAATCAAAATTTGGACAAAGCATACCCAGTAATAAATAAAATTGCCATATCTTTGTACATGCAATATTCAATCATGACTTTCCTCTTTTTTATGGGATACACAATACTTCAAGCATTGTCATTTACACCGTAAGCACAGGATATTAACATCAATGTGATGAATTAACCAATGAGCTATTGTAATCTAATTTCTGAGGTGATAAAACACAATACATTGATCAACATTACATTACACTTAAACACACATTTCAAATGTCACTGGGATCCAGTAGTAGGATCACCCAAAATGATGATGGACTTAAATCTGAACAAGCAATCAAATCAAGTTTTGAATGGTTGTACCATTCTAAAATTAACACTAAATTGCATATGGATATACCATTAGTTAATTACAACTATTTTGTAATACCTTCACATGTTACTCAAGGATTCTCATTAAATTGAAACTTCTAAATGTTAAAATTAAGCAAGACTTAAATTGATCTTCAAAAAAAGGAGAAAGAAACTAGAAGTGCAATCGTAGACAGAACGATGTGCATGCATTGACGCCCGTGTTTCTATCTATCAAACAAAAGAGCCCTAGGACTATCCAGAGCAATTTGTAAACCGTCTGTAGGTTCTAGGATAGTAGAGATAGGTAGGGAAAAAGAAAGACCTCAAAAACAGCTCGAACGGACATGGCATGGCCATGTCCAATTATGAGATAAACATACTGAGAAATTGAGACGCAACAGAATTGGTATGAGAAGTTAGAGGTATGAGAAAGTAATGAGAAATTAGAGGTATGGAGAAAGTTATGAGAAGTTAGATGTATGGAGAAAGTTATGGCAATTTTAGATCTTCAGGGGTCAATTTTCAAAGAATTTTAGAGGTTTTTGACGGAATCGGTTCCGATTTGAATTTCGAGTACCGGTAACAGTACGAAGATGGATTTTGAAGTTTAGGGTATACGTTGCAGATGAAAGAACATCACTTAGACTAGAGGAATTTGTGAGAATTCTGTAAGATCTAGGGTAGTGGATCTAGTGGATATAGGAAGGAAGAAAAACAAGGGCTTTAAACAAGATGGCGCCTGGACGGTTACGCATGAGTGATTTTGAAAAAAGAAAAGTCAGGTGATCTAGATTGGATAACAGAGATTACGCCTACGAAATTTGAAAGGAATCGGGCAAGAGAAAAGGACCTAGATAGGAAGGACAAGCACTGCATGCCAAACGAATGGGATTTTTGGCATAAGATTAAGAAGAAAAAGATGAGAAAGAAGAAGAATAAAAATGCAGAACGCAAACAAAAACAAGACATTGACGAAAGTAGTCAATGCAACAATATTACATGAACAATTTATTAGGTAGAAATAAATGTTGATATCCGCTAATAGCAATTCCATCAATGATTGTGGTAAGTTCAACAATTTCACAAAATAATTGGATAATCAAAAAAATGAAATATGAATTAAAATTCTCAATTATATGAATACATGATCATGATCATCACTAAACCTCTCAAAAACAAATTTGAACCTTTTCAACAATACCTCCCTCTCACTTTACATCATCATTGATATAATGCTACATTCAAATCATTTTTAATTCCACTTAGTGGATATTATGCTGATATAGTGTACAAGCTTAAAGCAATGGCTGATTTGTGAGCGAGTAATGAAGTATTATTTTGTAAATTCTGTAAAATATTTGCACACAGTAAAGTGGTTCATACCTGCAGGTGATTTCACATTGAGCAAGCACTTCGGTGGCACAGAAATTGGCTTATTTGGCGAGATGGTTGTCCTTTCTGGGTTTATTTGATATGATCGTCACAAATTTTGAAGGCAATAAGTTGTTGGATTTATAACGCTATTTGATGTCTATTCTTCTTCAATATAATGTAACTTAAATGTTATCTCCCTTAACAAATCTTGTTTTATCTCCTTTTTTTTTTAGCCATCAACCAATTTAGATCCATCATCCTGCATTACAGGTCTAAATTTTCTTCTATTCTTAAAATGCATAACTAATGCCCTTTGCATACAGGGCATCATTTTGTGTATTGCGTATTCCGTAAATCCTTTGTTTATAAAGCCAGTAATTCAGTTTATTTAACAATTCATTAATCTCAGAAGTATATACTATAAAAGGGCTGAAATAATATTAAACAAATTCAAATGTTTTATTCAACCTTTTGTTGTGTACAAAATAAGAGCTTAAATTTGAACTCATAGAGAGAAAACAGTTTTTATCTGAAATTTGCACATACATGTAATTTCATAAACTTGCTACTCCAGATACATGTTAAGATGAGGTTTAGAGGGCTTGCAAATCCCTGATAGGGGCTTTAGTCTCTTTCTACCGATCAACAACTTAGATCCGCCATCCTACATAAGAAGTGTAAACCTTCTTCTATTCTTAAAACGCATGCATACTTAATGCCCATTGACAACAAGGTATCATGTAGTCCCTATAAATAAAGCATACAAAGCCAGCCATTCCACCAAGCAACATGAAGTGAATTTGGCATTCACTTTTTGTACAATATCACTCTCATATATGATTGTCACAATCCTCTCTCATCACATTTACACCTAGTGTGCAATAGAGCAAGGAAATATCAACTACAAAGGTTTCTGTATATAATACATTCATTCCTATAGTATCTTGCCAAATGTAGGCTACATTATGGCTAGAAATTTAATTAAAATCTATTTTATTCATATGTCTCATGACACATCTACCAAAAGAGGACTTCCAACAAATTATATATATTTATTTTTCTTCTCAAAGAGAGAAAAGTTACCATTGACAGTATTTTATCTATTAAACAAAAACAATGAAAGCAAACATATCTTTAGGGTTTGGGCCGACTATAAACTTTACCATATCCTGAACTAAAATTGACACATAGGATATGTATAAAATGAAAGATTTTTCACACACTTTTTACCTTGTTTCTTTGATTTCATTGGCAACTCTTAACTTAAGGCCTCTCTATCCCTATAGAATAAAAAAAAAACACGAAACTGCGATTTAATTTTTATACATGAAAGTATTAATAATTTTGACTGTTGCCTTACTGCCCCTTCAATCATAGGGGTCTGAATTTACAAACTTTAAATGAGAAGTCCACCCTGATATCAACTTGTTTTAATAAAAGCAGAAAAATGAGAGAAACAAATTAGCGATAGTTTGAGCAATATCTGATCAAAAATAGAAAAGTTACTAATTGTCATCAGTGAAACACAAATTGGCAACACTGTGACGTATCATGAGAGCTCCTCTCCAATTGGCTCTGTACAGAAAATATCATAATCTTTTCATTTTCTTAGTTATAGTTGACGGAATAGATTTGTGTCATACAGGGTGGTATAAAAGCATATTTGCAATAGTTATATTCAGGGTGAATGTATGTTTTCTTAAGGGATATTATAGAATGGAAGTGGACCTCTTAAGATACTTCACAGAGTTTGCAATTTATGTTTGATTGATTGTACCTTCAAAAATTCATAACTTTCTTAATTATAATCAGTTTTAGGTCAAAATTTCACTTAACCTGTTTCTCTCATTTCTCCTATTTCTATATTTAAAACCAACTTAATATCAGGGTCGACTTCCCCTTGAAGTTGAAAGTTAAAAATGGAAAACAGCTTCAGTGCTTCTGCGACCCCCTACTTAATTTAAAAGGGTGGAACTAACAGTCAGAGATATTCAACAAAAAACAAAAAAATGAATCCACTCAAAGTACATGTGTAAGTGTTTGGTGCGAATTGGGATTAGCTCTTGCATTATATTGTGAAAAGTCATTTTTCTTCCTTGCCGGGATAACTAGCATTTGTTGTCCTATGAATGCTATAACAGATTTTAAAGTGAAAATTAAAGCATTGTGTTTAACAAATCAGGATATATTTGATTTCATATATCTGCCCTCTAAATAAGTCCTAAAAAAAGAGAGATGTTGTATTGCCCTTTGCGACTGACCCAAAAATCTTGAAATCTATGGTCGGCTTTTTATTTTTTATTTTTTTAACCATTTTTTAAAGAAGAAAAAATATTAAAGGCATTCAAAACTGAGAAATATCAGCCCAAAGAGGGAGAAAAAAAGGGAGAAAAAAAGTGTAAACAAAGAAAAAGATTTCTGATTGCCCGACCCATGTTTTGGCACCTAAAGGGCAATTATACAACATCTTTTATTTTAAAGCCTAATTGGGGTTTTGCCACAGCCAAAAAATCAAGTGCATTTTGTGTCATGTGGCAATACCAACTGTGATTGTCTTCATTTGTTTTCCAGTCAGCTTTTTCAGGTGCTTACATCATGCTTTGTCTTGGCATAATTGTGTTTTACATTTCAAGATGATTTTACAAAATGTACGGCAAGAGCAATGGGACAACAGCATTAGCTAGCTTAACTACCGGTAGCTTAAATATAAGGCCGAATAATCCATCAAGTTTTTCAAATTTCAAAGACTAGATACATTTCTCTTGAGTCATAAATTGCTTTCAATGTTTGAAGTAAAGAACAAGTCAATCCAGGACATACTTTCATAGTCCTATTCATAACAAAGAAATATCTAGATGCAAATCAGCCATCATAAAAATGTATGTAAAGGACTACTGCTAAAATAAAATGCTATATAGCAAAACCCTTTTTGACATGAAGGCCCCACAGAAACAATTATAAGAGCTATTCATAGGACAATTGGTTTTTAAGGGAGGCCTACAATAACACCATTTTGCAGCACTTTATTTTCAGTCAGTAAAAATGGAAAGGAAAAAAATTACAATTTCAAAATCGACAGATATTTCACCACAACCGTTTTCATTAAAACAGCCTTTGTCTTGTGAGTGTGCGTCCTGTGATAAAGTGCTTAAATGATATATTATATGTACTGTGAAGGCATTATGCAATCTGGATTAAGTAGATGCTATAACAGGAAGTATATCGGCTGGGTAACTACGTTCAGGCGTTGCTACGCTTGAGGATTAAAACCTATTAAATGTGGATCTTTTCCATTTCTCTCCCAAGACAGAGGCAAACCATGTTTTACCTTCCTTCACTTTCATCGGTGGGTTTGTGTGTAATGCCCATTGTTCAACTGATACCATCCAGATATGTTAAATAGTTTACCACTCTCTTTCATAGCATTACTTCATCTATATATTTTCACTGCAATAAAACAAAATCCCCAAATGGCAATTCATCTTTTCATTTACATTAGAGTCTTTCTACTTCCAATCATTTAATTTATCTACCTATCTGGTGCAATATGTTCTTTGTTTATTTGGCATGTGAATAGTAGCATCAATTCAACAAGACCAGTTCATTAAATACCACCTTTTCATGACACGTCCATTGATTGGAGCTAGCACATATAGACATTCTATCTACACACGTCTCTATGAATCTGGGCTTTTAACTCAGTGCACAAGGCTAGGTGAGGCAGGTTAGGAATAGCACAGACAAGTCATAGGCTGCCGTATACAACATGTAGGAATGTGTATCCACTATCCAAGTCTGAGGTTCTCTTGCGATACAAAATTACAACTGAAACCTGTATCCACATGACGGTTCTGTATCCATGAACCAATCACTGCTACCGAGTTCCTCTAGCTATCTTTAGTGGACCAGTTACTCCTGCCACCAGATCAAACAGCAAGCAGAACTGCCTCCGTCAAAGCCATCCCAAAGACCACACATTGGCCAGGATGATCTTCAACTCTCAAGAACAGCCCATTGTTCATTCCTCCCATGAGAGATGGCATGTATTTTCTCAAGGTCACATGTCTGAGTAATTCTCAGCGAAGAGTTTGATTTGTCTGTGGCATTCAGGAGAGCGCCACCTCTCTTCCAGAGCCACACACTCGCTCTCATTTACGTACTCCAGCTTCGCCCGCATTTGGCCCCGAACCAGCAGTTTGGATTGAAGTAATGCCTGTCATACAGTAGAAAAAAGGAAAAGGAGGAAACAGTTGACTCATGTTGAAGTTAAGTCTCATTTAAAGGAGAAGGAGTATTCAAGCAGCATGCATTCTTTTTCATTGGAGATATCATATATGATTTCTGAAATACTTAAAACTTTCACGGTAGTGAAATGCAGCAATTTATATGATCACAACAGAGACCCAAGACATTTTGCTCAAATGTGGAAAATGAAAGTTTATTATTGCATATATTCTCCTTTTTGCCAAAAAAGTCTTTTAACAGTGAGTTTGCATCTTCAGTTGACTATAGACTTGTCATTAGTGGACCCCCCCCCCTCCAAAAAAGAACATCCTAAAGCCTACACTGTAAAAAAAATTTGAACATGATTTCATAGAAAACATGATGCATACATGACACAAGTTTGGCGGGAATCCATCAATCGATTCATGAGACAACACGGTCATAAGCTATTTTTGCATAATGAACCCTGTGACCTTTGACTTTGAGACCCCAAAATCTAATCAGTTCATTGGCTCTGCAAGAGACATACATGACCCACGTTTGACTGGAATCCATCAATCGGTTCTTGAGATAACGCGATCATGGATAAGGGACGTATGGACGGACAACCCGAAAACCCGAAAAATTAACGGTGTATAAACCGCACCTTTTTGCTGCCGAAAAAGTCGGGGTTGTAGTTTATACACGGTACACAAAAAAAAAAAAAATATAATAATAATAATTTTCGATTTATGCCCTTCCACCTGGCGCTATGCCTGGCAATGTCTCCCAGCTCAGTAATCGGTGTGTTGACTCACCACTCAGAAACTAGATAAACACTCAAATTTGCCTGTCATCTTGGTTTGAAAGTAATCTTTCTAATAGATTTCAATATGTAGTTGATAAAAATAATTCCTCCAATTTTTCTTCTATTACACGGCGTACCACAAGGTTCTATCCTAGGTCCTCTACTGTTTTTTAGGGCGAAAAAGAGGGGTGCGGTTATTACACGAGGGCGGTTTATACAACGTTAATTATGGTAGACATGAAAAGCAGTTGCCCCAATACAATTCTCGATGAAGCAATATAATGCTTACAGCTTGAAATAAGCCCAACCTCTACAGAACAGCTGCTCAAGGTTACCTGTAGAGTGCCCCCAAGGAGCCTGTCTGCCTGCCTATGAATGAGGCTACTCACCTTGCCAGACTGTGCTGCTATTCTCTGTACTCTAGGTACTACCTCCTGCATGAAGCTAGTAGGCCAGAATGTATGGGAAACTAGACCACATGCACACGCTTCAAGTGCTGTCAGCTTGCGCCCAGCATACAGCATCTCACCAGCCTAGCAAAAGGCAAAAAGAGAAAAAGAATAGGTGGTTTCAACGTTTTGAAGTTACTTCACCTTCTCTTCCACATATGACCTTTGACTAAAGGTCAAGATAAATTCATTTCTAAGAACATGTAATTTTGGCAATGGCTGTCCTATCTTCTGTAGCAGTATATAAATTTCTCCAAAAAGTTTCTTTGCTAATCTTATCTGATGTCAAATTTCACATTTCATTATGTTTTTTTGTTTTGTTGTTGGGGGGGGGGGGGGGGGAGATCAATTAAAATTCAAACTAACATGTGCTTTAATGTTTTGAGCCTTAATGAAGAATGAAGAACGCATTCCTTCATGCATGTTTTTACCAGTCTTTGTGTGTATAGTCCTCTCATGAAAAAATGGCTAGGACAAAATAACAGTTCACTAATTCCCTCATTGACTTCCAAACCATAGTCTATAGCATCTGACAATTGACACATGACACATTGACACATTGACACATGACCAGTCTCTGCCTCTAAGCATTAATGGTCCATCCAATGTTTGATAACTTCCACTTTTTATTTTGTCAGTCTCACACTATTAAACCGTAATCACTACATGCACCAAATAATGGGGGAAGCTGCTACTTACCACTGCCAACCCCAAGACCTGGGGATAGGTGTGTGAGGCGCATCCCTCTGGAGTCTGACTAAGAATACTGTATGGCAAGTGGAAGTAGGCTTTGTCGCTGGCATATGCGATGTCACAAAGAGGTAGAATGGCTGCTCCAAGGCCTATGGCAGGACCGTTGATGGCTACTACTACTAGCTTGGGACAGTTGATAAGGCTATCTACAAATGCCCTGCAGGATTGAATCAAGAAATTCATGTTTAGTCTAAGCTCAGATGTCAAATTGTCGAAATTTGAATACTTTGAGGCCTTGGTTTGGAGTTTCTTACAAAAATCTACAATAGAATTCATTAGAAATGGTGGACATAAATAATAATAATAATAATAATAATATATTCATTTGTAAAGCGCAATAACTATCTGGATATATTCTACTGCGCTGTAAGAGCTCGTAAATGCTGTGCTATACATACTACATGAACAAGTGAGTTTTCAGTCTTAATTTAAAATTTTCTAGCGATGGGGCTTTCCTTATTTCTAGTGGTAATCTGTTCCATAATCTAGGGGCAGCACAAAGAAATGACCGGTCTCCTAGGGCTATTTTGGTTTTATATGGGGGTATTTGCAACTTAAATGTGTCTTGTGTACTACAAAGGTTACGACCATGAGTTTGAGACTTGATTTTCAACAATTCAGTAACATAACTAGGAGTTTGACCATTTGGAGCTTTGTAAACTATAATTAATATTTTTAATGTGATTCTCTGAGGAACTGGCAACCATGTGTACTGTATATTTGGGTAGTCTCTGGGTTATACTATCTTCCCTTGCTGCATGCAGCTCATGGAAGGAAGTAGCCCTAAGATCACAATAACGGGGATACTTCATCCCATCACCCTCATACACAGTGACTGTTTGCTTACTTTTGTAAAAATTTTATTGAAACAGACAGCATATCAGTGTGAGACAATAATAATGGATTAAGATATTACCTGACTGCATCTGCAAGATTTTTGGATGCTCTTTTCCTCTCCTCCACAGAGGACGTCTGAATACACCTGAGATCTAACCCACTGCAGAACACACTACCAGAACCACTCAAGAAGATCACCTTAGAATCGTCTTTCTTGCTTGATTCAAACACATTGGTTAATTCCTGTAAGGCCTGTAAGGGTTACAATTCAGTAGATGGTTGTACATTTAGGTTAGATACAAAAGAATCTTACAGATGGGAACCTATCTTAATTCAGAGATGCCACTGAGAGTCTTCTGAACTATTTCCTGAACTATATTGTGGAGCAAGTGGAGCAAGTGTATCACAAAATGGTCGGGGTCCAGGAAGATATAAGTCTACCGTTTGATGAAATGTCCACCCATCCAACCAACTCAAACAAATAGCTCACTTTATAGGTAATTGGATCCCTTAAACTCCATCAAATTGGTTATGCACTTGCACTATATAAATGTTTGCTGGTATTCTTCAATTATCATAACTTCTGTGGCATTTCTTGGAGTTATATAGGAATATTCTCTCAGGCACAGTATTACTTGACATAAACATGTACCAATATCTTTATGGCCAGTTTCGTTATATTTTCCGTCATTTTCTAAGGTGACCGAGATGCTATTACGTCTTGGGTTTTGATATAAAGCTGTCAGTTTGTAGCGCATGTATATGCCTTCTGTGATTGTGAAGCTTGCCGTTTCCCCTCTACTCACATTTTGACAAATTCTTACATGAAGAATTTTCTGAATCTCGAACTCCACTTTTGCACAGAATCTGTTTATTTTTTAAGTGATACTTGCATCATATCATATCACTTTATGTGAATTATGCTGACAACATTGAATCTTTGTTGATGACAGCACTAGTGCACATAGACAAAGAAGAAGAAAAAGGTGGAAAAAGGGGAGAAAGAGAAAGAAAGGGAGATAGGGATCAGAGAGGGAGAGAGAGAGAGAGAGAGAGAGAGAGAGAACAAGACAGAGCTTTTTCTACGTTTCTTTCCAGAATCATATTTTATTTGGGAAAAAAATTCTGAATAAAATGACTCTGCTTAATCGATGTCATAGCAGGTTAGCTATCTCCTCGAGGGTCTCTGGTGTTAGGTTATTTAGGAGCAAAATCTCAGGCCATCTCAGTCAAAAAAAAAAAGGAAAATAAATCATGACATACCCCTTGATGTGAAGAGACTGTCCCTTACAAATCTATACAAATGTAGTATTGCAAATTAATTTGTTCAAAAGAGCTGTTTAGAGGATAAAAGAAGTAACCCAAGTATAAAGCTAATATATATAGCTTACCTTCAAATTTAGGGCATTTCTTGTAGGTGTCGTGGTGAAGAGCCTGACTTGTGTATACCCTTGGCACTTCTTAACAACTATTTCCTTGTACCTGTAGAGGCTCTCACTTTGCCTGGCACTGCTTCTTCGACTTTTGAAAAAATAGAAACAAACTTTGTGAAGATTCTTACTTGTACATTTGATGGCAAAGGAAAACCATCACACATTGGTAATGGAATCTGATTTTTATCAACACTGGAACTCTCTTGGTTCAGACATCATTTACTGCACTCTTCTAATTATTTCTTCATATACAGGTAGTACCATTAATTTGAAACGAAAAACCACAAAAAAGCATATGCATAAGACTCAAAATTTTACTTGACCGGAGTGTTGGCTCAGTCAGTAGAGCGTCCGCCTCACAACCAGGTCGTGGGTTCGAACCCCGGCCGCGTCATTCCAAAAGACGTTTAAAGATGGGAGTTGTTGCTACCTTGTTTGGCGTTCAACAATAAGGGATAGAGCAACGTCGATCTGGCGCTGCTCAGTGGCTGCCGGGCTCACGATCAATTGGGCAAAAAGAATTTCCGTTTCGGTTTAATAAAATTTGGGGTGGACTATTAAGCTATTATTATTATTATTATACAGGCATCAATTTCATATTCTATCAAAAAATAAAACCCAATAATTCAATAAAACTGCCTTTAAATCAATGGAACCAATCACAAGAAGAGGATCATTCACACAATGCATGTCTTTGTGAATCCATAAAGTTACTTTCATATACCACACATGTAGAACCTACAATGCACAGTGTACTGTACATGTAAGTTGACTGTAAAAGTTAAAACATGTTCACATCTAGAGTAGATCATTTAACAGAATTCAACGTATGGTGATTGGCACTTTTAGTCAGCCCCTATACTTTTTCTACCAAAATCGTTTAGTATGTCATTTATTTGTAATCTCGAAAATTCAGTGTAAGTTTTGTTGGATTCTGTGAGAATTTTGTCTTCTTCTATCATTACCAGAACTCAAGCTTTAACTGAATTAACTGAACTCGCTCTCAACTATCAATCATCATCATGTCAGGTCGAGGATATGAATGATGGGATTTCAAAATCTTATAACCAAGTCACACTGCGAAACTGACGGCAAGCTGATACCAAACGGATTGGATCTTGGCTCTTAAGTGTAGTGGAATATTATGTTTGCTGATAGTATGGTGTTGGACTGTTGGTCTCGTTAGTGTGATTGTGGTATTACACAAGTCGGCCCTTTTCTTCTTCCTCCTTGGAAACACTGAAATTTTTTCTTCATTGCTTCTTATTCCAATAAAAAGATGCAAATCATATATAATTTTTCTAACTGCCTACCTATCAATGGCTCTTCAGATAAACAGTATAAGATCCACGATTTTTGCATGATGTGATCTTGCTCAGACTTTCTTACTCCTACTGTCAAGAAACAAATCTGAGCTGTACAGACCGAGAAAGTCCATCATAGATTTTCTACAGTGAATCTTCAGATGACCTTTACAAGATCTCAGATTTCTGCACGATGTGATCTTACATAGCCTAACCTAGCTTTCATTTTCTCTACAATAGTGCTGCACAGATCAAGAGAGTCTTGAGCAACCTACCTATCCATGGTATCGTCAGTGGTTGAGCTAGACTGTGACAGTCTCCGCCTGGCCACTATGCTGGCCGTCCGTCTCCCCTGCACTTCCCTATCCTCTTCGGTGCTCCCACTGGGTGCTGTGAAGGAGCTGGTCAGATTACCGGGGAGATTAGCAGAGACACCACCTCTCCGCGTTGCCATTGTTATCTTAGTTGGGGAGAGTATCAGCTTGGGGTAGGCACTAACAGACATTGTGCGATGCAGGTTCGGGGAACCTCTTGTGCTGTGATGGAAACCTGATTAAAGCAGACAATGGTTCGTTGCTTACTGTAAGACCTACATTTTCGCAACATATATGTGAAACTCTTAAAGAACTGCTGATGGATTTTTCATGGCATAAATTCTAGACCATTTACAAAATTCATGAAGGTTTCATTATACATGTGAAATTCATAGTTTCACAGAAACCTTGCAACATCCATTTGACCACAACATATTTTCATTTAAGATAAAAACAAAGATACATGTATGTGCACAAAACACAAGTCACTGTAAACTCTAGCTTCAAGATTCCTGATATGCAATTTCAGTCCTGAAATGAGATGTCATGAAATATAATGAACTATTAATGATTTATAAAAGTTATACTACTTAAAAGTACATGGAATAAGAGACAAGACTATATTCTGCAGATGCAAAAAATCATACCCTCAGTGGAGATGGAGCTATTTATTCTTCTTCGTTGGAGTGGCGAACCAAGTCCATTGCTAGCACCGGACGAATAGGTACCCTGAGGTCCGACACCCGTGATGGAATGCGCCCGCTTCACACGTTTCTCTGGAGACTGTCCTTCAGACTTTACAATGTGAGTGGATGATAGCGCTACAGGTCCATTAGTTTGCTTACCACCAAGGTCCGACTCTCGTTTCCTTTTCTGAGCTTTAGCTAACAAATCAGCTGTATTTATGACAGTGATACTGCTGTTAGTCCTATGATTGCTACTCACAGTCTTGTGATCTGAATTAGACTTCACATGCTCTTTGTTCTTCTCACTTCCATTGATTGCCTTTTCCTTCCCTTGTCCTTCCTTCCCTTGTCCTCCCTTCCCTGGTCCTCCCTTCCCTGGTCCTCCCTTCTCTGGTCCTCCCTTCTCCTGTCCTCCCTTCGCTGGTCCTCCCTTCTCTTTGCCTCCATTGTCATTAGGTTTCCTCTTGCCCCCTTGGGACTGCTTCTTGTGAATGGAATCGAGGGAGGCAAGCCTTTCAAACTTTCCATCTTTCATAGTCTTTTGGTTGAAATCCTCCACCAGTTCCATACAGTCACCAAGGTTTTCCAGAGGCTCCCACGTGTCCTCTTCGCTGCCAAAAGTCTTCCATCGCACCATGTATTCCAGCTTACCCTTGCGAGTCCGACGTCGTGCCAGGATTCGCTCCACCTGTAACACAGGGAAGAAAGTTGAATAGTTATTTGCATAATCAATCTTTTTTTAATGAAATGGGTATCCTGTAAAACCAGAAACTTCTGTGAGTTCAAACAATTGCCATTTTCACAAAACACAACTTTCAAGAATTGCAAATATCACTGTTGTAGCAGTCGTGATCCCATAATTTCTAGCATGAAACAACTATATCTGAACCAATCTCAAAATTAGTATAGTTTCATCACTTTCATGCTTGCAAAAGTATCAGTTTCAACATAGGCAAAAGAATTCAGTTGTTTGAGGGATTTTCAATTAGGAGCTACATTAACTTGCTACTCCTCATTCTTTACAAAATCCAAGCCCCAGTTTAAAATGTTTGCATATATACACTGTACAGTATGTGTCAACTTAGATTCGCTGAAACCAAAAACCAAAACAAAAAAGTTAATGTACATGTACAGTACATACATGTACATCACCATCTTCTCACACCCAAAATGGTAAGTACACACTACAGGAATTCCTACATCATAGACTTGATGAAACTTAGATAAAAATGTACATTACTCCTGTTTCACACCCAAAGAGACAAAGATTACATGATCAGGGAATAAGTAAAATCTGATGGAATTTAGTCAGATTGCTTTGTTTGCTATTTCACATTATTCAAGTTCAGTGTTCCGTGCATGGGTACTTCCCTGTGGGACCTTTGATTAGTACTGAAACAAAATAAGAACTTAGTACAATAACCCCACAAAAATCGACTCAATACCATTCTCCGTATCAAACATTATATTTTGTTAGAGCTACGTATTGTCGGTTTGGTGTTTGTCTTGACTGCGTGACTGGGGCATGAGCCAAAAACACATACACATACATGTACATTGAGGAGGTCTGTTTATCTTGATAAGATCATACTTACTCAGCAGGGATCACCAACCAGGAATGGTTGATAATATTTTTTGTTGTTATTAAAGGTAAAGACCAGTATTGGAAACGCCCCAATTTCAAAAAATGAAATGGAAGCTCTCATTACCAATCATGTGAAAGAATATGTTTTGACTAATACATGATGATAAAAAAATTGCCGGGAAACCGCCTACTAATTCATATATTTGGTCAATTTGTTTCTCTCATGGTCTGTGAGAGATATAGGGTAGTCCCATATACATCTTTCTGTGTATAGTGCTTGTAACTTTACGAAGAATGGGCCAAATTTCTTATCATTTTGATGATTCCAGAACCTTGCAAATGCTAGATGCTAGATGATCAACCTTTTCTAATCGATTCCACGTTTCTTTCACAATGCAATCGCATGACCATAACTGGTCTTTACCTTTAAATACTGTTATTAGGTGGTCTGTCGTATCGACAGATCACCTATTAATTTTGTCAGAATTTTTTTTCTTTATTATTCATTTTTATTTATTTCACACCACACTTTTTTGTGCAGAGAATAACACTTAGATCGGTACAGTCAATTTCTTTCAATTTTGGCAGTCATAGGTCATTGTCATAAGATGTGTCGGCAACATTTCCAAGTTCATCAGTTTATTGTGACGTCATCCAGGTGCCATTTTGTGAAATTTTCTGAAAATCAAGAATGATCATATCTTCATAACGGAAAGTCATTTCTCATTCATATTTATCAAGATCGCCATTCTTTTATGATATTTCCCATATTAAACAATTTGATACCATATTTATTTTTGTTATGACTATCAATAACGGAACGAGCATCCGTTCAAGGTAAATATCTGTACGCGTGAGTTCTTGTAATAGTTAGCATATATATGGGCAAAAACATGACTATAAAAAATTCATTATAGCTCTTTGGGGTGCCCCAATTTTCTTTGATATTTGAGTATGAGTTGGAGATATGATTTCAGGTCTCATCTGGGCATTATATGGTGACGTCATCATATTTTAAGTTTATCTCTGTAAATATTTATTGTTTTTCTCCCAATTTTTGATATGTTGTAGCTGAGATGATTTTCTAGACGGTAGGTAACATTTATTTTTTCATTTTAACAATGGCATCATGGCCCATTCTTTTGATTAAAGGTGGCATGTTGATTTTCCCAATTTTGGGTGTATTCCCAATGGGAGGAGACTTTTTTTGAAATCTTCTTTCTACATTCCAGTCTTGTTTGAGCACTATCTCGAATATTTTCGAGGCTTGGGATATGTTGTGGCTGAGAAATTCTCTACAAGGAGAGGGACGCTTATTTTTGAATCAGAAGTTCAGATCATGCCGATATTTTAACTGCTATACACTGTACATGTTTTAACTATTTAGCATGTACATGTATGTAATTTGAGAATCCCATTTCCCACATTGGTCAAAGCACTTGCCTCTCATTCCAGCGAGTCAAGTTCGATTCCTGGTGGGTCAATTAAAAAAAAAAAATTGCCTTTGTTTTATATTTGATTTTATCACCTTCCTTGACTATTATAACATATCATAAACGATCACAAACAATGTTATACAATTCCTTATTTTGCATGTTATGGGAGAGGAATGTCAATAGTACAACCCTATGGGAATTCTGATTCCTCGTTGTGTATTAAACCTACACGGTTAATCTCCCAAGTCTGCTACAATATCAAATCGTCCCATTTCTATGATGCTAGTCTCCTTCCCAGACGTTTATATTTTCAGTTATTCAGCCCACGTACAGTATATGCAGTGTTTACATCTCTCCCACAGACATAAAACTGCTTACATGTCTATAATTTCTCTTTATATACAATAGTAAATATTCAATTCTATTTATGCTGGAAATATTTAATGCATCGTTCTCCATTGCATCTCGCTCCCTGTCCTCTCTATTGCTGTTTCCCTTGCCTCTCTTGTTCTGCCCCCTCTCCTTCTCTTGCTCCATCTCTGCATCTCTCTCTCTCTCTCTCTATCTCTACTCTTTCACCCTCCCCTCTCTCTGTCTCCCTTTCCCGCCTCTAGCTCTTGTTCTCATATCTTTGGATGTTCCCTAATTTTCTCTTGCATTCTAATTACACCCCTACCATGTTTCCTTACGTTTCTCTCTCCTTCCAAGTGATTCCTATTTTATCCCTCTGTCCAGCTTGTGTATTTTTTAAATGACTGTACCCTGTCTCTCTCTCTTCTTTTCTATATCTACATGTATCTACTGCCATTTCTCTCTCTCTTCATATGAGATCCTTATAAAACAAACCTACATCCCACCCCATTCATCAAGTGGCAAATTCATATATCGTGGTTTTGTTTTGTTTTGTCCCCAGCCCATGTATCGAGTTGGCATGATCTAAACAATAATTGGGTGTAATCCAGACTAACTGCACTACATGTTCCATAGGTAATCATGCGAATGAGGCCTTGTTCTCTGATAATGGTTGTTACCCTCCCCCCCCCCCCCCAGATATTATTGTTATCACAAAACATTAGAATAGTGCTATTTTTCCTTTAGATAGATAGTAGTGATAAAAAGTAAAAGCTTCAATGTTTAACAAAATGCTTTTCAGTCACTTTCCAAGCAATCCTGACACAAATCATAAATATTTTCAAATTTGTCACCATATCCATTATGAAATTATAAAACAATTGTCATTAATCATAAGTCCAGCTGTTATTTTCCTTTTCTGAACTTTCTTTATGTCTTTAATTTCTGTGAAAGTTTGAGAAAAATATAAATAAAGAAATTGGCAAGTGTGAACATAAAAGTTTGAAAGTTAAGATCACTACTGCAATAATAGGAAATCCCCACTGTAAAATTAGTCACCGTTTGCATGATGCCACGGAAAGACAAATTCTCATGTTTATACTACAAATACATTACTTTCCTCAATTTGTATGATCAAATAGACATATTTTTTCATTGGAGAATATACATGTAAACCAGTGTGAAGAAGAAAAAAAACGTAAAAATTTTTCCTTCATGGGAGCACCTACAGTGTAAATGTTTTGCTAACATTAGAAAAGAGAGATTTCCTCATATATGTAGGTACAGTATGTTTATATTTACCTGTACCATACATGTACATGTAGTTGTTTATATTATAGTTTATCAGTGATCTCTTAGAGCTTCCAAGAGCTTGAATGCTTGATTGCTCACTGCTTCCATGCATTTTGTTTTCTTCCTCTCCTTCTTTTATCATTTTTGTTGTTGATATTGACAATAAATAATGAAATTAAAACGAGAGTTGTCCAGTATGATGAATGCTTTTGAGTGCTAGTGAATCTTAAAGGTAAAGACCAGTTTTGGAAACGCCTCTATTTCAAAAAATTAAATGGAAACTCTTATTACCAATCATGTGACAGAATATGTTTTGACTATTATACGTGATGATACAAATTTTGCCGGGAAACCACCTACTAATTGATACATTTGGTAAATTATTATATCTATCTGAACTGGATTTAGATATAAGGTAGTCCCATATACAGTGTACATCTTTCTGTAATCTTTCTTGTAACTTTACCAAGACTGGGCCAAATTTCTTATCATTTTGATGATTCCAGAACCTTGCAGTACACACCAATACTTAAATGCTAGATGATCAACCTTTTCTGAGCGATTCCACAACGTTTCTTTCACAATCACATGACCAGAACTGGTCTATACCTTTAAAATAAACACATTTTATACAGTATTGCACATCTGTATCAATACTCAATCATTTTCAGTGATTGATTTAGATCTCTTAACTTTCATCAAGCAAGGGGTGGTAGGATTAAACGATTTGTCATATTCCCTACATAAAGGTTTAGGGGTCAAATTGAGTTCAATGGTTTCAACCCATATCCTGTGAACCAAAGTAACTCATCACATACTCAGTAGATCAAGACAAACAAAGTAATGTATAGATAGATACAGTATAAAGGGCTGGTTGACAGTAGGATGTGGATTTTATATATACCCCCCCCCCCCAAACAAAACAATCCTTTGACCATGGTCTTGTATCAAAGAGGAAATTGTAAAATTGAGCACCTGAAAGAAGCTTTACACAATACTAAAGTTGAGACTGTTATCACAGTC